CCTAGCCTAGAGGGTCCTCAGGGCCACATCAGAGAGAATCACATGTGCCTGGTCATATGGTTTGGGCTTTATCCTAATGGGAATTCTCTGAAGAGTTGAGGCAAAAGGAATAATGTGATCAGATGATGTTTTTGGAAGATCATTCTGGTTGAAGTATAGAGGAGAGATAAGAAGGGGCAAGAAGGGATTAGGAATGCTGGTTAACAGGCAACAGTTATAATCTGGGAATAGGAAGCTAGTAGTGTAGACAGACTATCATGGTATGTACAGAAAGAAAAAACTGGATGGATATAAAAAGGATTTAGGACACCAAATTAATTGACAGAATCAGCAAGTGACTGAATGGGCAGGAGTCGGGGATATGGGGGAAGGAGCAACCACAGATGACAGCAGGCTGCCGTTCTGAACAATAGGTATGTGATGATGCCATTTTCTAAGAGCAGGACTGCAGGAGAAAGGGCCGCCCAGAAGGAACGATGCAGAGCTGGGTTCTGAACATAATGAATTTATCTGTACGGCAGCCACATGGAAATTCCTGCAGAAAGCAGGAATATAGGAATATAAAAGTCTGTAGAGGAGGCAAATTTTGAGAAGAGTGGGGACAGTCTGAAAAAGCTGATGTGCAGAATGAGAGAAGTGACTAGAAAACAGAATGAACCAGGCAGGCCTGAGAACTTGTCAAGTTGGAGCTAATAAACGAGGTACACATTTTCCTTTTCCATAATGACACTTAATTCTAAAACTAAATATGAAAGCATTTTAGTGAGGTGAGGTAAAAGAGACGATGAAAATGTGTTTATAATAACTGCTGTTTTTCATTGAAAGCTTGTTTCCTACTTGTGAAACAAACACAAAGGAACCTAGCAAGGATCTTTGTGGCCTTTCATAACACAGAGAGTCTTACCAGCTGCTGCTCCACAGGAGGGGGCACATCTTGACTGGCATAAACAATGGCAGGGTTGTAAAGACTGAATACCACAGGGTAAAACACCTTCTTACCTATAAATCAAAATATACGTTTATATCACACAAAGAAATCATAAAACGACTGATCCGTATTATAATATCTATTACTATTTTGTTAAAGTCTTTGACTCCATATGATGATTTTGTCAATATTATATTTTATTAATATTCAGGATACTGAACATCCTGTTGATTTCATGAACATGATAATGACTAACGGGTCCTCCACGTTTTTTTCCCTGGACTCTGGGGAGATGCACAAAGGTATTCTCTCAGTTTTTATTAGGTGAGCCATTTATTACTATTTATTTCATCTAACTATAGTAGTAGATACAGGTTAACCTCTGGCAATCACCAAGAAACTTAAAAACTTATGTTGAACCCACCCTTCAAAATGAACCAAACAGTAAATCTAAGGAATACTGTACAATGAATCGATATATAGAGAATTAAAATACAGAACTGCAGATAGATTTTAATAAGATTTGGAAAAGAAAAGAATTAAAAATACCTGATGTGATAGCCCTTGTAGAAGGCCTTGTATTATCATTCAAATTGACAGAACTGAAGGGACCTTACAGGCTAACTAGCCCATCTCCCCTCAAAAGGAAACGCCTCGCTTAGACTGGCCTTAATCAGACATGATACTATGAAGTGCCCAGTAATTGTCAAGGATCTAATAAGTAAGGTGGTAGCCTTTTTTATTACAAGATTCCTAGCAGATGCTCATCTCATCTTCCTCAAAACCCACTTAGGGATGGGGATCTCAGTGTCGCAGAGGCAAATCCATTTATGGATATAAAAATATTTTACATTGAACAAATATATTTCCTCCAACTTCCACATTTTGAAATTCGTGTTGTCTGGTATAACAAAAGTAAACCTAACCCTTATTTACTCACTAGGCTCTCAGAGAGTTCCTGACAATTATCCCACCAAATAGATCAATAAGAAGGTAATGTACATGATACAAATAGTTCTACATTAAAAAATACGAGATTTTTTTAATACAGAAAACTTTTTCTGTATTAAATCAAATAAGATTTGATTTATAAAAATATCATTTTCTCATATATTTTTTAAAAATATCTGTAACATAAAGCAAAATATAGTACATCATTCCAAAATGCATAGTCTGGAAACCAAGCTTGTGTATGTGTTGGCACCATCGCCTGAGGTAGAGTGATTCTGACTCTCGCACATCTCCACACAGTTTGCTTGGCTCTTTATCTGACAGGTACTGCTTTCTCCCTGTCAATTTCAAGACTTTCTATTCCTTTGCACTTGTTTACTTAGATTCATAAGTAGATGTAAGAGAACAGGGGATATGAATTTCAGAGGGATAAATTTTCGCTTTTCTACATAATGTTCCACTTAAATTATGCCTAATATAACTTTTAAAAAACATAGGTAACTTAATTCAAAATATGGGACATGCTGACATTATTCCAAATTCTATACTCAGGTCATCTAATAACATTTTACGCACCTGGCTCCGCATTTAACCGGCAGCTGTTAAGGAATTCGGCTGAGAAATATATATCAACATCACAGAAAAACATCAAGACCTCTCCCTTGTCCCAAGCTCGTGCACCCACATTTAGTCCTCTTCCACGATTAAATTCTTCATTCAGTGAGACCAAGGTGTAATTGTGAAAATTAGACTCACTATGAGGAAAGCACATACAAATTATAAATCTCACTTACAGTTTAACTCTTCCTTCAACACAACTTAAAAATATGTTTTACACTTCTGATATTTTGTTATGTTGGCTCTACATTCATACATGGAAAGGAAATCATTAGCTTCACATGTATGATTATCATCAGGGGCAGATAGTCATTAAATGCCCACATGTGAAGCAACATGATGGTGGTGCAAAGTTAATAAGTGTTAAGGGAAGGCTGCTGCCCTTCAGGATCTTAAAAACATATTGGAGAAGATAAGAAATATATAAATGGAAAAACAGCCATACTGTTTGGTAATAAGTAATTGCATTCCACATGACTGATACATACAAAGAGGGCTCTTCTATTGAGTTCTTCAGATCTCTGCTCAAATGTCCTCTTATCAGAGGGATCCCCCTCACACCATATGTAAAGTAGCCCCAGCCTCCCTTCTCTTTAATCTCTATCTCCTTGCCCAGCTTTGTTTTCCTCAGTCCCATCAGACATGTTTGTCTGAGTATCTCCCCCACTGGAATGTAAACTCCATGAGAGCAATGATTCTGTTTTATTGCTATGGACACCATGCCCCCCCCAGAGTAGGAGCTCAATAAATATTTGCTGAATGAATGAATAAACAGCAGGTCTGAGAAAAAAAAAAGATTCCTTTTGTTTGGAGTAGTTAGAGAAGATGTTAGAACTGGAATTTAATTTAGGCTTTGGTTAAAATCCTAAATTCAGTGGTGAGCGTAAAGGTTATTCCAGTTAATTATTCTCAAAGGCAAAGAGTTAAGAAAGTATAAAGCATTTTAGAGACAAGGGATCAGATAAGTCATTCTGGCACAGAGGGATCCCAGAATGAGATCAATGAAAGAAAACCAGAAAAGGGTCAGACTGAGTACCTTCCATGAGAAGTTAAAGAATATGGTCCGTGTCCTAAAGGAAGAGTCAGGGTTTTTCAGCCAGGGCAGTGGTTCTCACAGTGAAGTTCCCCTACCCAGAGCATCAGCTTCCTCTAGGAAACTGTTAGAAATGTAAATTCTCAGGCCCCACTCCAGACCCCTAAATCAGATGCTAGAGATGGAGTTGAGCACCTGTGTCTTAATAAGCCCTCCAGGTGACTCTGATGTTAAAGTTGGAGAACTGCTGCACTAGGGTATAGCCAGATCCAAAAAAAAAAAAAAAGAACATTTTAGGAAGATTACTCTTACAATAATATAGAACAGGAAATGGAGAGATGGAGCAAAGGCTCAAATAGTGTACAGAGTAGACTCCAAGTTCTAAGTGCCCATGCTCCCCTTCTTATAGGATATAAATCTCTTCCTTCTTTTGGGGAAGCTGATGATCACTACTTCACACTTCTAGCATCAAGTGGAGCTACTAATTATAGAATATCCCAACTGATGCAGGACTGGGCAAATCCTCCCAAGTAGGGACTCAAGTCCTGCACCGAGAAAGGGTGAGGGTCCTTGACTGCATGCAGAAAAGAATTCAAGTGCATGCCAGTGATAGAGACAAAAGGAAAGTTTATTAGAGAAGGAATAACACTCCACAGAGTGAGTGTGGTTGCCTCTCAGAGTCAGAGAATATGGGAAAGGAAGGGAAGGGGATGGGAGGG